CTTCCAATTTGTTTTTGACCATCTCTTCTGCGCATTCTTTAAGACCTGAGGAAAAACTCATAGTTTAGTTTAAAATGATGTATCATGGTCCACTTAAAAAAGTAATTTATTGTGTCCCCTTTAATAATAAAGATGTGTAGCTTATTTTTCAGTGTTTTTTTTTAAGGACAAGGTTGGGTTGGGGGAGGGAGGACTTCAAACATTTAGATGATACAAAACCATTTTAAAAAATAATTAGTGCAATAGTTCAAAATGCTTTTTTTTTAAAAAAAACTTGGGTAATCAAGATTGTATTCCCAGATAAATTCTAAATTCTACTAACGCAATAAGAATGCTAAAGATATTATAATTAACCTTTTTTGGACGAGGTTACTGAGAGTCAGAGATGTTTTGATGTCTCTAAGAACATGCAGCTAGGAAGCTAAACATCTGGAATTTGAATTTCTGGTTATCCTCCATACAATTACCATATACATTTAAATTGCTGTTTTGTATGACAAATAAAAACATATATAGTTCACAAAACAAAATCTAAATGTTTTGGGTCTCAGGTTCTTTATCTGCAAAATGAGCTCAGTCTTCATTAAAAGCATTCAACTCCTCACTCCCACACACACCATTATTGTAAAGGCGCTGCCTTTTCCTCCAAATAGCATGTTTTATGGAAGTTTAAATATATAAAACTAAAAGGAGTGTTGCTTGGATTAAAGTGGGGATGGAGGGCCTTGAACCCCCCAAAAACAGTCTGAAGCAGCTGGAATAGATAATTGCTTAGATCCCTTCCGTGTCTTGTAAGTTAAGGCTTAATCTTCAAATTTCCATGACTTAGAGAAGTATTACATATTTGTGCATATTCAAGGTTACGTAGATTTGCTTTTATGACATACTGCTGGTACAATCTGATTTACTGGATGTCAAATCTGAAATACAACTCTCAAATGTTTATGAGAAAAACATAATCCATTTTACTACACAGTTTTCAGGGGAAATGTGGAGTGTGCAAAACCATGTTCAGATATCTTACTGAATCAAGAGGTATTCTACTGTATTTTCTTCATGTGTTAAGATTTGATTACTTGAAAATATTAAGTTAAAATTTTAATAAAAATAAATTAAAATTTAGAGTCCCCCCACCCACCCATCAAAAAGCATTTTCTGATTAATTTTGATCCTTCAAACTTAAAACTCTACCTCTAGTTCACCTAGACATTAAAGGGAGGTTAGCTTCTGTGCTGTTACTATTTCAGGTGAGTAGAGTACTGGTTTGATGTGTCTTAACCTCCATGTGAGTGAGTCTTGACCTTTTTAGGAGACATGGATCCTTTAAGAAAAAGCTATAGATTTTTTTTTTTTTAATTTATTTGTTTTTATTTGGGTGAAGATTTACAGAGCAAATTCACTTTCCATACGACAGTTCACATATACTTTGTCTCATGTCATTGACCACAGTTTACCACAATACAACAGCTCCCCTCCCACTTCCTCCCCACAGCCACCTCTTCCCAGTGACCATCTCTCCATACTCTCCTGCACCCTGAGCTGTCTCCCTGTGCATAAGAAGCCC